CCACCAGCCCCACCACTATCACTGTCCAGTCAACACCAGTCCATTCACCACTGTCCAGTCAACACCAACTCCCACCATCACTGTCCAGTCAACACCAGCCCCACCATCACTGTCCAGTCAATTCCAGCCCTACCATCACTGTCCAGTCAACACCAGTCCATCCATCACTGTCCAGTCAATACCAGTCCCACCATCATTGACCAGTCAACACCAGTCCCCACCATCACTGTCCAGTCAACACCAGCCCCACCATCACTGTCCAGTCAGCACCAGCCTCCACCATCACTGTACAGTCAACACCAACCCTACCATCACTGTCCAGTCAACACCAATCCATCCATCACTGTCCAGTCGACACCAGCCCCACCATCACTGTCCAGTCAACACCAGCCCTACCATCACTGTCCAGTCAATACCAGCCCCACCATCACTGTCCAGTCAACACCAGCTCCTACCATCACTGTCCAGTCAACACCAGCCCCACCATCACTCGTCCAGTCAACACCAGCTCCACCATCACTGTCCAGTCAATACCAAACCCCACCATCACTGTCCAGTCAATACCAGTCCATCCATCACTGTCGAGTCAACACCAGACCCACCATCACTGTCTAGTCAACTCCCCACCACACGGTCCCCACCATCACTGTCCAGTCAACACCAGCCCCCACCATCACTGTCCAGTCAACACCAAACCCACCATCACTGTCCAGTCAACACCAGACCCAACCTTTCACTGTCCAGTCAACACCAGTCCATCCATCACTGTCCAGTCAACACCAGCCCCACCATCACTGTCCAGTCAGCACCAACCCCACCATCACTGTCCAGTCAACACCAGCCCTCCATCACTGTCCAGTCAACACCAGTCCCCACCATCACTGTCCAGTCAACACCAGCCCCACCATCACTGTCCAGTCAACACCAGTCCCTCCATCACTGTCCAGTCAACACCAGCCCCACCATCACTGTCCAGTCAACACCAGCCCCTCCATCACTGTCCAGTCAGCACCAGCCCCACCATCACTGTCCAGTCAACACCAGCCCCACCATCACTGTCCAGTCCCCACCATCACTGTCCAGTCAACACCAGTCCATCCATCACTGTCCAGTCAACACCAGCCCCCACCATCACTGTCCAGTCAACACCAGTCCCCTCCATCACTGTCCAGTCAACACCAGCTCCCACCATCACTGTCCAGTCAACACCAGCCCCACCATCACTGTCCAGTCAACACCAGCCCCACCATCACTGTCCAGTCAACACCAGCCCCATCCATCACTGTCCAGTCAATGCCCCACCAGTCCAGTCAACACCATCACTGTCCAGTCACCAACCCCACCATCACTGTCCAGTCAACACCAGCCCCCACCATCACTGTCCAGTCAGCACCAGCCCCACCATCACTGTCAGTCAACACCAGCCCCACCATCACTGTCCAGTCAAATACCAGTCCCACCATCACTGTCCAGTCAACACCAGCCCCACCATCACTGTCCAGTCAACACCAGCCCCACCATCACTGTCCAGTCAACACCAGCCCCACCATCACTGTCCAGTCAACACCAGCCCCACCATCACTGTCCAGTCAACACCAGGTCCATCCATCACTGTCCAGTCAACACCAGCCCCACCATCACTGTCCAGTCAACACCAGCCCCACCATCACTGTCCAGTCAACACCAGCCCCACCATCACTGTCCAGTCAACACCAGCCCCACCATCACTGTCCAGTCAACACCAGCCCCACCATCACTGTCCAGTCAACACCAGCCCCCACCATCACTGTCCAGTCAACACCAGCCCCACCATCACTGTCCAGTCAACACCAGTCCCTCCATCACTGTCCAGTCAACACCAGCCCCACCATCACTGTCCAGTCAACACCAGCCTCTCCCACCATCACTGTCCAGTCAACACCAGCCCCACCATCACTGTCCAGTCAACACCAGCCCCACCATCACTGTCCAGTCAACACCAGCCTCCACCTACCATCACTGTCCAGTCAACACCAGTCCATCCATCACTGTCCAGTCAACACCAGACCCACCATCACTGTCTAGTCAACTCCGGCCCCACCATCACTGTCCAGTCAACACCAGACCCACCATCACTGTCCAGTCAACACCAGCCCCACCATCACTGTCCAGTCAACACCAGTCCATCCATCACTGTCCAGTCAACACCAGACCCACCATCACTGTCCAGTCAACACCAGCCCCACCATCACTGTCCAGTCAACACCAGCCCCACCATCACTGTCCAGTCAACACCAGCCCCACCATCACTGTCCAGTCAACACCAGCCCCTCCATCACTGTCCAGTCAACACCAGTCCATCCATCACTGTCCAGTCAACACCAGCCCCACCATCACTGTCCAGTCAACACCAGCCCCTCCATCACTGTCCAGTCAACACCAGCCCCTCCATCACTGTCCAGTCAACACCAGCCCCACCATCACTGTCCAGTCAACACCAGCCCCACCATCACTGTCCAGTCAACACCAGCCCCACCATCACTGTCCAGTCAACACCAACCCCACCATCACTGTCCAGTCAACACCAGTCCATCCATCACTGTCCAGTCAACACCAGACCCACCATCACTGTCCAGTCAACACCAGCCCCACCATCACTGTCCAGTCAACACCAGCACCCACCATCACTGTCCAGTCAACAGTCAACATCACCCACCATCACTGTCTAGTCAACACCAGTCCATCCATCACTGTCCAGTCAACACCAGCCCCACCATCACTGTCCAGTCAACACCAGCCCCACCATCACTGTCCAGTCAACACCAGCCCCTCCATCACTGTCCAGTCAACACCAGCCCCACCATCACTGTCCAGTCAACACCAGCCCCACCATCACTGTCCAGTCAACACCAGTCCCTCCATCACTGTCCAGTCAACACCAGCCCCACCATCACTGTCCAGTCAACACCAGCCCCTCCATCACTGTCCAGTCAACACCAGCCCCACCATCACTGTCCAGTCAACACCAGCCCCTCCATCACTGTCCAGTCAACACCAACCCCACCATCACTGTCCAGTCAACACCAGTCTCTCCATCACTGTTCAGTCAGTACCAGTCCCACCACCACTGTCCAGTCAATACCAGTCCCTCCATCACTGTCCAGTCAACACCAGTCCCTCCATCACTGTCCAGTCAACACCAGCCCCTCCATCACTGTCCAGTCAATCACCAGTCCCTCCATCACTGTCCAGTCAACACCAGCCCCATCCATCACTGTCCAGTCAACACCATCAGTCCCCCACCATCACTGTCCAGTCAACACCAGCCCCACCATCACTGTCCAGTCAACACCAGCTCCCACCATCATCAGTACCCTCTACATCACTGTCAGTCAGCACCAGTCCATCCATCACTGTCCAGTCAACACCAGTCCCTCCATCACTGTCCAGTCAACACCAGCCCCACCATCACTGTCCAGTCAACACCAGTCCCACCATCACTGTCCAGTCAACATCAGCCCACCATCACTGTCCAGTCAACACCAGTCCCTCCATCACTGTCCAGTCAAACCAGTCCCTGTCCAGTCAACACCAGTCCTCCATCACTGTCCAGTCAGCACCAGTCAACACCAGCAGCTGCCACCATCGCTGTCCAGTCAGCCTCACCCCGCCATCACTGTCCAGTCAACACCAGTCCCACCATCACTGTCCAGTCAACACCAGCCCCCACCATCACTGTCCAGTCAACACCAGTCCATCCCATCACTGTCTAGTCAACACCTGTCAGTCCCAGACCATCACTGTCCAGTCAACACCGGCGTCCAGTCAACACCAGCCCACCATCACTGTCCAGTCAACACCAGCCCCACCATCACTGTCCAGTCAACACCAGCCCCACCATCACTGTCCAGTCAACACCAGTCCCTCCATCACTGTCCAGTCAACACCAGCCCCACCATCACTGTCCAGTCAACACCAGTCCCTCCATCACTGTCCAGTCAACACCAGCCCCACCATCACTGTCCAGTCAACACCAGCCCCTCCATCACTGTCCAGTCAACACCAGTCCCACCATCACTGTCCAGTCAACACCAGCCCCACCATCACTGTCCAGTCAACACCAGTCCCTCCATCACTGTCCAGTCAACACCAGCCCCTCCATCACTGTCCAGTCAACACCAGCCCACCATCACTGTCTAGTCAACACCAGCCCCTCCATCACTGTCCAGTCAACACCAGTCCATCCATCACTGTCCAGTCAATACCAGTCCCACCCATCACTGTCCAGTCAACACCAGCCCCACCATTCACTGTCCAGTCAGTCATTTCACCAGACCAGTCCACCATCACTGTCCAGTCAACACCAGCCAATCTATCACTGTCCAGTCAACACCAGCCCCACCATCACTGTCCAGTCAATACCAGTCTCTCCATCACTGTCCAGTCAACACCAGCCCCACCATAACTGTCCAGTCAACACCAGCCCCACCATCACTATCCAGTCAACACCAACCCCACCATCACTGTCCGGTCAACACCAGCCCCTCCATCATTGTCCATTCAATACTAGAACTCCTTCACTGTGTAATGACACAATACCCACTGCCCTTTCAAAACCAGTTCCCATGGCAACTGTGTTGTCAATACTATTTCAATAATCACTTTCTAGTCAATACCAGTCTCACAACATCACGTACCGAGAGTACCGCATACCCACGTCACAGTACAACGCAGAGACTGACATGACGTACCGAGAGTCTCCTATACCTACGTCACAGTACAAAACAGAGACTGACTTCACGTACCGAGAGTCCCGAATACCTACGTCACAATACAACACAGATACTGTCATTACGTACCGAGAGTCCCGAATACCTACGTCACAATACAACACAGATACTGTCATTACGTACCGAGAGTCCCGAATACCTACGTCACAATACAACACAGATACTGTCATTACGTACCGAGAGTCTCCTATACCTACGTCACAGTGCAACACATAGAGTGATGTCACGTACCGAGAGTCCCGTACACCTCCACCTCGCACAGTGTAAGTCGTTCAAACCCTGTCAGCTGAATCCTCAGATAGCGTCCGACAGTGTTAGGACTGCAGGAGATCGACTTGGTGGTTTTGCCGTACTTTCCTTGATGGAAGAAACAGAGCTGGTAATGTCCACCAACAACGTGGCCAACACTCACATTGAAATTGGCCAATCTTTGAGCTGCAACCGGATAAGAACACAATTTGGTAATTCAAGAGGCATCTTAGGTTTGTTTGGACAGACATATCCTGTAAGAGTTTTAAACGTCCCTGTTGTTGATGCGGGGAGGTGGGGCGGCCTGGTGGTCAAGGCGTTTGCTAGGTTCTATTCGATTCTATTCCCCACATCTGTATAATGTGTGAAGCCCACTTCTGCTTGGAATGTTGCTAAAAGCAGCATAAATCCAGACTCACTCACTCACTTGAAGATGCGTGTACCCTTTACTGAAGTCAGTGACCTTTGAGTTTAATATTCAACTAATTAAACCTCAGTGATAATGTTTCCAGTCACCTCACATAACGTGTGTGTATGGATAAGGCGGACAATATTACCCCTGGCATCTACCCCTGGAGGTTGGACGTATGTACATAGCATTGGGTATGACATTATAACGGCAGAAGCTTTAACTTCTTTCCAATGAATTTGGTCTGAACACTATCCGGGTATGTCTCACCGCAGCAGTCGACCCTGTTGGTGATCCTCAAACTGTCCACCATATAGTCCGCAGTCAGGTCCACCTCCCACCACGGCTGGTACTCGCCTGTGTCCAAAGTGTGAGTGCACTTGTCCACAAACAGACGCTGACCGGTCTGTCCGTCCACTGCGTAATCAGGAACAAACTCCCGCCATGTTGTACTCTGATTCGTTGGCTTCCCTAATGCGATGTTGTCAAGGGCGTGTCCTGAAACACATCCATCACTAGAAGACAGCACCTTCACAACACTGTCTACATGTATATGTTGTCAAGGGCGTGTCCTGAAACACATCCATCACTAGAAGACAGCACCTTCACAACACTGTCTACATGTATATGTTGTCAAGGGCGTGTCCTGAAACACATCCATCACTAGAAGACAGCACCTTCACAACACTGTCTACATGTATATGTTGTCAAGGGCGTGTCCTGAAACACATCAATCACTGGAAGACAGCACCTTCACAACACTGTCTACATGTATATGTTGTCAAGGGCGTGTCCTGAAACACATCAATCACTGGAAGACAGCACCTTCACAACACTGTCTACATGTATATGTTGTCATGGGCACCTTGTCCTGAAACACATCCATCACTAGAAGACAGCACCTTCACAACACTGTCTACATGTATATGTTGTCAAGGGCATGTCCTGGAAACACATCAATCACTGGAAGTCCTGACAGCACCTTCAACAACACTGTCTACATGTATATGTTGTCAAGGGCGTGTCCTGAAACACATCCATCACTAGAAGACAGCACCTTCACAACACTGTCTACATGTATATGTTGTCAAGGGCGTGCTGAAACACATCAATCCTGAAACAGCATCAATCACCTTCAGCACCTTCACAACACTGTCTACATGTATATGTTGTCAAGGGCGTGTCCTGAAACACATCAATCACTGGAAGACAGCACCTTCACAACACTGTCTACATGTATATGTTGTCAAGGGCTTTTCCTGAAACACATCAATCACTGGAAGACAGCACCTTCACAACACTGTCTACATGTATATGTTGTCAAGGGCGTGTCCTGAAACACATCAATCACTGGAAGACAGCACCTTCACAACACTGTCTACATGTATATGTTGTCAAGGGCGTGTCCTGAAACACATCAATCACTGGAAGACAGCACCTTCACAACACTGTCTACATGTATATGTTGTCAAGGGCGTTTCCTGAAACACATCAATCACTGGAAGACAGCACCTTCACAACACTGTCTACATGTATATGTTGTCAAGGGCGTGTCCTGAAACACATCCATCACTGGAAGACAGCACCTTCACAACACTGTCTACATGTATATGTTGTCAAGGGCGTGTCCTGAAACACATCCATCACTAGAAGACAGCACCTTCACAACACTGTCTACATGTATATATCACTAGAAGACAGCACCTTCACAACACTATCTACATGTATATATCACTAGAAGACAGCACCTTCACAACACTATCTACATGTATATATCACTGGAAGACAGCACCTTCACAACACTGTCTACATGTATATATCACTAGAAGACAGCACCTTCACAACACTGTCTACATGTATATATGTCAGACCCAGATATGTAGACAACACCTTCACAACACTGTCTACATGTATATATCACTAGAAGACAGCACCTTCACAACACTGTCTACATGTATATATCACTAGAAAACAGCACCTTCACAACACTGTCTACATGTATATATCACTAGAAGACAGCACCTTCACAACACTGTCTACATGTATATATCACTAGAAGACAGCACCTTCACAACACTGTCTACATGTATATATCACTAGAAGACAGCACCTTCACAACACTGTCTACATGTAACACTGTTTATAATATCACTAGAAGACAGCACCTTCACAACACTACATACATGTATATATCACTAGAAGACAGCGCACTACGGCATGTACCTTCACAACACTATCTACATGTATATATCACTAGAAGACAGCACCTTCACAACACTACATACATGTATATATCACTAGAAGACAACACCTTCACAACACTATCTACATGTATATATCACTAGAAGACAACACCTTGATAACACTGTCTACATGTATATATCACTGGAAGACAACACCTTCACAACACTATCTATATGTATATATCACTAGAAGACAACACCTTCACATCACTATCTATATGTATATATCACTATTCATACATGAAGACAGCACCTTCACAACACTGCCTACATGTATATATCACTGGAAGACAGCACCTTCACAACACTATCTATATGTATATAGGGTCACTTTAGAAGACAACACCTTCACGCCACTATCTACATGTATATATCACTAGAAGACAGCACCTTCACAACACTATCTATATGTATATATCACTAGAAAACAACACCTTCACAACACTATCTACATGTATATATCACTAGAAGACTTCACAACACCTTCACAACACTATCTACATGTATATATCACTAGAAGACAGCACCTTCACAACAATACATACATGTATATATCACTAGAAGACAACACCTTCACAACACTGTCTACATGTATATATCACTAGAAGACAGCACCTTCACAACACTGTCTACATGTATATATCACTAGAAGACAGCACCTTCACAACACTGTCTACATGTATATATCACTAGAAGACAGCACCTTCACAACACTATCTATATGTATATATCACTAGAAGACAACACCTTCACAACACTATCTACATGTATATATCACTAGAAGACAGCACCTTTCACAACACTGTTTACATGTATATATCACTAGAAGACAGCACCTTCACAACACTGCTACTACATGTATATATCACTAGAAGACAGTACCTTCAATAACACTATCTACATGTATATATATCACTAGAAGCACTCTTTCAGCACCTATTCACAGACAGCACTGTCTACATGTATATATCACTAGAAGACAACACCTTCACAACACTGTCTACATGTGTATATATCACTAGAAGACAGCACCTTCACATGTTTATATCACTGTCTACATGTATATATCACTAGAAAACACCTTCTTCACAACACTGTCTACATGTATATATCACTAGAAGACAGCACCTTCACAACACTGTCTACATGTATATATCACTAGAAGACAGCACCTTCACAACACTGTCTACATGTATATATCACTAGAAGACAGCACCTTCACAACACTGTCTACATGTATATATCACTAGAAGACAGCACCTTCACAACACTGTCTACATGTATATATCACTAGAAGACAGCACCTTCATTAACACTATCTACATGTATATATCACTCACTACAAAGACAGCACCTTCACAACACTACACCTTGCATACATGTATATATCACTAGAAGACAGCACCTTCACAACACTATCTACATGTATATATCACTAGAAGACAGCACCTTCACAACACTATCTACATGTATATATCACTAGAAGACAACACCTTCACAACACTGTCTACATGTATATATCACTAGAAGACAGCACCTTCACAACACTGCCTACATGTATATATCACTGAGAAGACAGCACCTATTACAACACTATCTATATGTATATATCACTAGAAGACAGACAGCACCTTCACAACACTGCCTACATGTATATATCACTGGAAGACAGCACCTTTACAACACTATCTATATGTATATATCACTAGAAGACAACACCTTCACGCCACTATCTACATGTATATATCACTAGAAGACAGCACCTTCACAACACTATCTATATGTATATATCACTAGAAAACAACACCTTCACAACACTATCTACATGTATATATCACTAGAAATATAGTACCCTTCACAACTGCTATTCTAAGACAGCACCTTCACAACACTATCTACATGTATATATCACTAGAAGACAGCACCTTCACAACAATACATACATGTATATATCACTAGAAGACAACACCTTCACAACACTGTCTACATGTATATATATATCACTAGAAGACAGCACCTTCACAACACTGTCTACGTATATATCACTAGAAGACAACACCTTCACAACACTGTCTACATGTATATATCACTAGAAGACAGCACCTTCACAACACTATCTATATGTATATATCACTAGAAGACAACACCTCACTAGAAGACAACAACACTATCTACATGTATATATCACTCAGAAGACAGCACCTTCACAACACTATCTACATGTATATATCATCATTAGAAGACAGTACCTTCACAACACTATCTACATGTATATATATCACTAGAAGACAACACCTTCACAACACTACATACATGTATATATCACTAGAAGACAACACCTTCACAACACTGTCTACATGTATATATCACCTTAGAAGACAGCACCTGGAAGACAGCACCTTCACAACACTGTCTACATGTATATATCACTAGAAGACAGCACCTTCACATCACTGTCTACATGTATATATCACTAGAAGACAACACCTTCACTAACACTGTCTACATGTATATATCACTAGAAGACAGCACCTTCACATTACTATCTACATGTATATATCACTAGAAGACAACACCTTCACATCACTACATACATTGACAGTACAACCAGAAGTTATTGAGAATTTAATATTGCAATTTGTGTATTTTTTTTTTCACTGATTACTCACGTATGATATGTTAATATTAGCAGAACATAACTCCAGATTCAAAGACAGGTGAATAGTTAGTATTTTGTCAAGTCACCATGGGCAGCAATGCACGCTTCATTGCGGCTGGGCATACTACTGATCAAAGAAGTTAGAAAGTCGTCGTTCATGCTGTCCCAAAATGGGACCACCTCTTCTTTCATTTCAGCAATATTTGTCCGATTTTTCTTATTGACACTTTCCCTTCATAAGTCCCCAAACATTTTCTTTTGGATTTATGTCAGGGCTACAGCTTGTAGCTCTAATAATATCATATTTGGGGTTCGAAACCAGGCCTGTGAATGCTTTGAACGATATTTTGGGTCGTTGTCCTGCTGGAAAATCCAAACTTTCCATAGAACACGTGAGCAGATGGAAGTAAATGTCCCTCGACATATCTATGTACCGCTCTACTGTTCATATTCCCTTCAAATACACAGAGGGGCGTTGCCCATAACACAGATATGCCATCCCACACGTTAAATTTCGGACTGTACTTTGGGCGATGATACAAAGGATTTTCAGTTTGTTTGGTCCAGAATTTCAGTGTATTAGGAAACAGCCACACAGAACTTTCATCTGAGAAAATCATATTGTCCCAGTTATGGGACATATGCTGTAAGCACCAGTTCAACCTTCGCTCCATTTTTTCAGGTTTCATGATCGGTGATGGAATTCCCTCGACTTTTCTGCCAACCCATTGCACGCAGCTTAGTTCTAATTGTCTCCTTACAGACAGCCACAGTTCGTCTATCAATCATATCCAGCCTTAAGGCTTTCTAAACTCCTTCGTTTGTTTTAGAAACAAGAATACCAAGCCGCCTCCCTGTCACCGACAGTGAATTTTCTGGGCCTACCTGCGCCTCCCCTGGTGCTCAATGCCATATCCATTGGCAATATTTTTCAAAACACGATAAACAGTGGACAAAGGGATGCCTGTTCTACTTTGAAATCACTTTAGCTGATCTGATGTCCTTGTTATTATACTCTAAAATCAACTTCCTCTTCTCTAAATCATCCATACTGAGGATCACTGAAAATGTCGTCTGCTAGCAAGTAAACAAAGGGGTATAACTCTTCAGAAACTAATGATAAGGATTAACTGAGTTGTCTCTCTTGAATGAACCCAAGCACTTGATAGCTGGTCAAGGTTGTTTATGCTAGAACTCCAATTAAACATATTCCTAAATTCTCAATAATAATTTCTGGTCATACTATATGTAAATATCTTGCATTCACCTGGGTGAGGCCGGTTGGTACATGTTGCTGTAATGAAATTGCTAAAGAGTCAAAGTTTCCGCCACACGAGTAGTATTTCAACAACCATAGCGAGACCATTACACCGTAAATATTGACTCCAAACAAAGTTAATCAATAGGAGACCGTGGAAAACAACTTGAGTATTAGAAATGAGATAATGTATGGTATGTAACAGGGCTGTGTATTAGCAAATTAATTGTATTGCAATATATTGCGACTGCGATATATTTGGACTGACTGACTGACTGAGTTTAGTTTTACGCCGCTTTTAGCAATATTCCAGCAATATCACGGCGGGGAACACCAGAAATGGGCTTTAACACATTGTGCCCATGTGGGGATTCGAACCCGGGTCTTCGGCGTGACGAGCCAACGCTTTAACCACTAGGCTACCCCACCGCCCCGCGATATATTTGACAGTAAGTGACACTTATTGTGCATGTCAATCCTATTTCTACATTATAAGTCCCTAAAACATATACTGAACGGCAAAAGATATGTCGTCACATTGGAAATGACATTTAAGCATCAATGGGATGTTTGAACCTATTTTTTGAAAAAATAGACGCCACTGAAATGCAGTGCCGACTTTCATCAGAGAAGATAACACCTCTCCATTGTCTCCCGCGCCAGTTTTGCCGCTGTTGTGCCCAACTGGAGACGTTCCCGGCAGCGTCGTTGGATGAATATGGGTCTCCTGGCAGGACGTCGACAAAACAGGTTCCTGGTTTGAGACGTCACCGAATGGTTCGGTCTCTGACTGGTCGCTGGTGGTTTCCTTTGGTCACCCAAGCTGTTTCTCTGGCCCCGCAAATCGGTCTTGCACGTGTTGATGGAAGATATGACGGTCTTGGCGACGTGTTGATGGAAGATATGACGGTCCTGGCGACGTGTTGATGGAAGATATAACGGTCTTGGCGACGTGTTGATGGACGATATGACGGCCCTGGCGACGTGTTGTTACATCGGGGCCGACTCACTACGTGGACGGTCATCAGTGCTGTTGGTCGCTTTGTATCGCTCTCTAAGACGTTCTATCGTTCGCACGCTGCAATTGGAAGTCATTGGCCAGCGTGTAGATGTCCAATGGCTTGTTGTGGTTGGTCTCTCTCCCATACGTGCTGTGTTCAGAAAACAAGTGAACGATTGCCATTCTGCCGAATGCAATTATGATGCACGTGCATCTTGATTTCAATGTTGTGTTTGTGCGAACTCTTCCTCTCCACAAACAAAAACATTCTTAACCACAATCTCAAACAATACTTTATTGGGCAATACAGGCTATACTAAACCACGATTCATGTTTTCCCTAGACTGACTTCCGGTGTATATTTAAAACAAATAGGTTCAAATACTCCACTGTGACTCAAATGTCATTTCCAATATTACGACATTTCTTTGCCTTTCAGTATATTATCGTTCTGATAACAGCAACTCTCACACCAAAGCTGCATATTCAGGGATTCTATTTTCTTTTTAAGACAATTTATAGTATTACAGGATGTTGTTTTGTCATTGAACATCGAAGGAATACTGTTGGGAATGAAAGTCAGTGTAGATATTAATTTTAGTCATAAAGATAATCACACAAACTTCATATGTTATTTACCCAATATACAGAACTTAAGAAAAAAGATATTGCAATACGTATCGTTTGAAAAGCGTATCGCGATATACCGGTATACCGGTTGTGCAGTTCTGGTAAGTAAACATATATACACAGATATCACTAAACACAAAACAACCAACGGGCTTCATCTAAAACTGGGCCATCGTACAATGGACCAAAGTGGTGTTCCGATTAATTGAAATAATCGAAGATTGGTCGAAGTGACCAAACGACCAAGAAATCGATCAAATTTTCTCATAATCGAACACAAACGATTTTGGAACTGCTGTTTTAGTCTTTAAAACACTTGACGATGGAACATATCTTCGAAGTTGTCAGGCCTGAAAACTTGTTTAATTCTTAGAATCCTCACTTCACTAACTGAAAAGTCATCACTGAATATTTTTTGAAGACCCCAGAAGGTTTATGTACATGATATATCAACATCACTTTAAAGTAGCAAGGTGAATCATGTTATACATATCTGCAATAACAACCTGAATAGGAAAATCTGAAAATTGACGCCAACCAATTTGTATCGATGATTGTTCGTTGGTAATGAAGCAATCATCAATTATGAGTGAGATTTCAAGCAATTCCCCAACGCTAATGGACCATGCATATTTTAGCATGTATTCTAGCTGGATTCACTTTCCTGTCTACGTGCTTGTATTAGACAGTAAATCCAAACATGTGATAATTGACGTGCTTCTTTCAGGGCCACGATCTGTTTCCTTGACTTCAGCTTCCTTTCAAGGCACAGCCACTAGCAACATCTATTATCAATTCAATCTACAACATTCAGAGGTCATTGAGATTTTTTACCATACACTCTTCAAAAAAAAGAAACGCATAGGTGATTTTGAGAAAATCGGACTCCGTGTAGCTGCGGCAAAAACAATACAAATATCTTTATTACTTTCAAAACGTCATCATTGTGTGATTGTAAACAGCTTCCAGTGCCAAAACATGGCAATTTAACTTTTCCCCTTGTTTTGAAGCGTTTGAAGAAATATTCACAAAAGGTCACCAAACACACATGCAAATCCCAACACACGCAAGTAAGCATGGGGTATTGATCATTATAGAAATGCAAACGTTGTGTTTTATTTTGTTAACCGTTTTTGCCTTGAAAAAACGAAATCATCAAGCCACGTCTGAGTGCCTCCTCCAATCGAAACATCGCCATAGGCCGTCTTGAAGCTGGGGAGTCACAATCTGCAGTTGCCCTACATTTCAACGTTCATCAGAGGACCTTTATCTCGCCCTTTGGGATCTTTCCTGCAGACCAATTCCTTCCCCAAGATCACCCGAGAAGCGTCGTCGAAAGAGTTACTATCCAAGCCCAATACCGCTACATCCGGGTTGCTTATTTGCGTCATCGTCTTGCTACAGCCGTGGAGACTGCATTGCGCATTCCTGGTTTGAGAAGAATTTCCGACCAAAACCGTCAGGAATCGATTGCGTGAAGTGGGGATTCGACTTTAAACGGCCAGTTGTCGCCCCTGTCTTTGAGAGACTTCCATCGGTGCAATCGCTTGCGGTGGTGTCGCGGGAATCCGGAACTGGAACCTTTAGAACCAAGTGAGTCTGATTCAGTGAAGAATCTCGATTTCTCTACCGGCGAGATAGAAACGTGTTTACCTCTTTGAAATGAACGTTTTGCCCTCTTAATTGCATCTGCTGACAGGTCGACCGGACTCGGTGGAGAGAGTGTCATGGTGTGCGCGAAGTATCCAGCACACAATGATCTGATTTAGTGGTGCGGCATAGGCGAATTTGACAGCTTATCGGCAACATCAACGAAGTCCTTGCACGTCACATGCCCTGATTATGGACCGACAGTGGAGTGATGACAACACAACTTCACATACAGCGCGCATCACGGTCCGCTACCTTGCCAATTTTAACGTCAATGCTTTCCCCATCACCAGATCTTAAACCCGATAGAACACCTATGGATGAACTCGATCGATGTACGCTGTCAACGTCAAAACACGCCAGAGACGCTTCCAACAACTGGACCATTGCATTGCAGGGAAGAGAGGGGACTCATCCAGTCTGTGCCGAGATGCTGCCAACGGTGGGCCGCATAGTACACACTCACTGACTTTGACGCCATCTTGTGGACTCCTTCGAGTTATCACAGAAACACAACAATGAAAGCTGTCGTTGTGTTGAGAACTCTTTGTCCATATGTGAATGTTCACCCTTTACCATTGAAATTACATGAAATGATTGCTCTTAAACTAACGCAATAAATTTCTTTTAAAATGGCTTTGTGAATGCGTTTCCGTTTTGAAGATATATTAAAATGTACCAATAAAGTGAGTAGTTATATAGTGGGTTTCTATTACAGGGTAATCTCTATTGGTTTATTTTGGTTTAATTCCGCCCCAGCACCCAGTAAAAATTTATCCTCCTGAGCGTGAGACATCGTTCGATGTTCCCTCTTATTGACTACACGATAGTCCAGGCCTCGACGCCGAGTGGAGTTTCTTTGATAGGGTTCAGTAGAAACTCCCAACGAGTCGAGGGTCTAGACTGACTGTTGGTGCATCCATAGCCATTATAAGAATCTCATTTCGCTAGGGTAACCCATTTTTTCAGCAAACTACAAATCCATTTTTCAACCAGCAAAATATATACTAGCATTCTAGTCCATGAGGAAGGGGTCCTGGGTTTGGTCATGAAAACTGGTTTGGGTGTCTTCTCGCCGACCGGTCTGTCGTCCGGTGTGCAATGTTTCCAGGGTCTTGTAAACGACCTTCCAGAAAAACATGGCGGGGATCGAAAGGTAGGTCCACTTTTGAGCCGATTCTAGCATCTGGCCTCACCCATGGATATCCAGACGCGACTCTTTCTTGTTCCTCCTCTATTTCCTCCTGAGTTCTTCTCTCCGTCGTCGTTCCTCTCCAGCCTAGATGTAAGATGTCGACCAACATCATCGTAGTTTTCTCCACATCGGCCTACACATCGTCGCGGTTTGCTCCATTACTGCCGACAACATCAGCACATGCAAACTGAACGAAGCATAATGAA